GACGGAAACAAATGTCTTGTACCGGGAGAGAGAGGCAAGAAGTAGCCTTTTGTTTACCAGCAAGACTTATCTCGTGTCTAACTCCCTCACAAGTTAATATTTTTCCCGTGTAAGAGGCCAGCTGATCTGCCACGTCACAAACTTTACCCAACTTTGCCTCACTAACGTACTGAAAATAACACACTTCTCTCTCTCTTCACATTAATACACACACAGTTGGTACGCCGCCTTCCACCTGATGGATAGTACCACCAACTTTTGCTCTAGCTTCTCCGAATTTATTTTTTAAGGCCTGGGCTGGGAGATACACTGCCACAAGGTACCAAAACTGATGAACTTATTTTGTTTTCACTAAATACGTGAATATACTCAGCGTGTGATGGTCGCCAACCTCTGATGCAGCTTCAGTATTGTATCATTATCGGTCTTGTAAATAACCTGATCAGCGAGCACCAGTGATCATAATTTCATTTAGTCTTTTATCTTATATCCTTCCCGTGAACCTGCGATTTGATTATTACGTTGGTCGATCTTTTTGTTTGGGGAGTGATGTTCAGTGACCTTTGGGACACCAACTTTCTAATTGAGTTTCTCTCCAGAGTTTAAGTTTTACTGTCAGGTTGGAAACATATTACCTCACGATACCAAAACTGACACCGTTTTTTGTTGACAGTCTGGCACGTGGCCATTCCAGTTAGGTGTGTAATGGGGTGCTGGCCAAGTTCTGGCCTATCTGCCAGGTGTACGGTGGTGTTGGGTGTTCCCCACATCTGGCTAGGGTGTGCTGGGTCAAGTTCTGTCATCTGCCAGGGTGTACGGTGGTGCTGGGTCAAGTTCTGTCATCTGCCAGGGTGTACGGTGGTGCTGGGTCAAGTTCTGTCATCTGCCAGGGTGTACGGTGGTGCTGGGTCAAGTTCTGTCATCTGCCAGGGTGTACGGTGGTGCTGGGTCAAGTTCTGCTGCAGTTTCGTTTAATGAATAATTTTTTTTTTATGTCTAAGGTCGGGAATAATCCACCAGAGAATAACAGAAATGTTGTTCTACCTTTTTCTGTTGTTTGGGTGAACTTGCAGGTAGAATTTACAATAGTCCGTTTGTTTGTTGACTAGTGGAACACCAACTTCTGCAACTTCCTTCTGAACTTTTTTTTCTGCCATTCTTCAGGGACGCGCCCAGAGTACAACAAGTGGTCTGTGTAGTTTATATTGGGCGGTGGTCGGGTGTGGTGGTCAGGAGAATGACAGCTGACCTTACATTCTCCTTCTGCTTCTCACTAGAGTTGATCTATTTTGGTGAGAGGCTTACATACACCGTTGGAGGGAAATAAAAGTGAGACACATTTTAGTTGTGTTTGTCAAGCCCAGAGCCTCCCTTCTATAAGTTATAAACCGACATAATGGTCCGCGCGAGGGAAATTTCCTAGACACGTATCATTATATAGGCTAACGGACTTACGACCAACCCCCGCAGTAACACTGTCTGTTGTCCCCAGTTCATTTACGTCCAAGACATTATTTTAGTGTGATGGAGACACCTGTTACTGCTCTCTGTACGCAGACTCACTCTTGCACCTTTAAAGAGATTCACATTTGTAAAGACCGTAATTGTTAGTATGTGTGTGTGTGTGTTTTGTTGTTGGTGACACACCTCAACCTGTCTACCTAACCTCCTAGTTCTTTATTATTGTCACCCTGGTGAATAAACGTATATAAATATACATACAATCAACACCTCAACCCGCCAGGATTCGAACCCACGGCCCATGACTGTGACCGGGGAACGCTAACCGCTGGACCACCAGGATACTAAAAGCAATCTTGGCGGGTTGAGGTGTTGATTGTATGTAGAAGTCCGCGTGCTTTATTGGGCTAATGAAATATATATATATATATATATATATATATATATATATATATATATATATATATATATATATATATTTATATATACATATACATACACACACCCAGGGGCAAAATGTGTGATGTTCTTAAATGATGATGGTTTATTTGTTTGTTGTGATTAATGGTCAGTGACCTGTGGGGAATCATTAGTTCAGTCAGCCATGTTTGTTTGTACAGCGAGGCTGATGCGTCTGTCTCTTTGAACACGATCAATTATCAGTGAGGCTTATCTGATGGTGCAGGCAGTGTGGCTCATGATCACCAGCTGGCAGAGACAGTGTGGATCATGGTCACCAGCTGGCAGAGACAGTGTGGATCATGGTCACCAGCTGGCAGAGACAGTGTGGATCATGGTCACCAGCTGGCAGAGACAGTGTGGATCATGATCACCAGCTGGCAGAGACTAGCTGAAACCAGTGTGGATCATGGTCACCAGCTGGCAGGGCAGTGTGGATCATGGTCACCAGCTAGCAGGAACAGTGTGGATCATGATCACCAGCTGCTTGAGAGACAGTGTGGCGGATCCTTGATGCCTGGCCTAGCAGAGACGAGGTGTGGATCATAGTAGGGTCACCAGCAGCGAGACAGTGTGGATCATGGTCACCAGCTGGCAGGGAGCAGTGTGGATCATGGTCACCAGCTGGCAGGGAACCAGTGTGGATCTGATCACCAGCTGGCAGGGAGCAGTGTGGATCATGATCACCCAGCTGGCAGGGAACAGTGTGGTCTTGATCACCAGCTAACGAGAACAGTGTGGATCCTGGTCACCAGCTGGCAGAGACGGTGTAGATCCATGATCACCAGCTGGCAGGGAACAGTATGGATCATGATCACCAGCTGGCAGAGACAGTGTGGATCATGGTCACCAGCTGGCAGGGAGCAGTATGGATCATGTGGTCACCAGCAGAAAGCAGGGCAGTGTGGATCATAGTAACCAGCTGGCAGAGTGTGCGAGACATTTGCCAAAAGTTAACTTCACCACCCTGGCAGGTGCTGGTCCACCCAAGGTTATTCCACCATCATTCAGCAATGGTGGGTTACTCCACCACCCTGTGGATCTGGTCCACCAAGTTATTCCACCATCATTCAGCGGCAACTGATGAGTTACTCCACCACCCTGGCAGGATGCTAGCAGGTCCACCCAGGGTTGTTCCTGCATCATTCGGCGTAGTGGGTTGCTCACCACCCTGGCAGGATGCTGTGGTCACCCAAGGGTTGTTCCACCATCATTCAGCAGCTAGTGGGTTACTCCACCACCCTGGCAGGATGCTGGTCCACCCAAGGGTTGTTCCACCATCATTCAGCAGCTAGTGGGTTACTCCACCACCCTGGCAGGATGCTGGTCCACCCAAGGGTTGTTCCACCATCATTCAGCAGCTAGTGGGTTACTCCACCACTCTGGCAGGATGCTAGTCCACCCAAGGGTTGTTCCACCATCATTCAGCAGCTAGTGGGTTACTCCACCACCCTGGCAGGATGCTGGTCCACCCAAGGGTTGTTCCACCATCATTCAGCAGCTAGTGGGTTACTCCACCACTCTGGCAGGATGCTGGTCCACCCAAGGGTTGTTCCACCATCATTCAGCAGCTAGTGGGTTACTCCACCACCCTGGCAGGATGCTGGTCCACCCAAGGGTTGTTCCACCATCATTCAGCAGCTAGTGGGTTACTCCACCACTCTGGCAGGATGCTGGTCCACCCAAGGGTTGTTCCACCATCATTCAGCAGCTAGTGGGTTACTCCACCACCCTGGCAGGATGCTGGTCCACCCAAGGGTTGTTCCACCATCATTCAGCAGCTAGTGGGTTACTCCACCACCCTGGCAGGATGCTGGTCCACCCAAGGGTTGTTCCACTATCATTCAACAAAATCACAACTCGCGTAGTATTTTTCAAACTTACTGTACCGGTGTTTTAAAATTCAGGCAACTACTGATCACACCACACCCCTGTATCCTCTTCCAGCTCCCCATTGTCCTGGGTGTGAACCCTCGGTGATAGGAGCTTAGGTCACTTAAGGCCAGGTCTGGACTGTAAGGAGGATGGTTGTGTTGCTCGAAGCCATAGTCGTTTTCATAAGTCTGGTGAACACAAGATTTATGGAATGGCCCATGGTCGTGGAGCAGAGCACACCTGTAGTTAGCAGACCTCGGTGTTTCACCCCTAATAACTTGGCTAGTTTCTGCAGTAGACCAGCATGGTGGTCACTGGTGATCATTGTTTTATGATGTAGGTAGTGGATCAACAGTAAGCCCGGGAGGTCAAGGCCATGATCTCACAGCTTGAGGCTTGACTTCAATGCTTCTTGGGGATCAGAGACCAAAGGTGCTGCTGTTGCTCGAATATTTATCTCTGTCTCAGGCCAGCGATGGTGAGTCCTGCTCTCACCTCCCCTAACTATACGGGGCAGCAAGTTGGCTAGATCTGCTAAGTACGTGCTGAGCGCTGAGCTTTCGGGGACCCATCTTGCAGTAACCATAGACATTCCCGAAGGTTGAGGGTTAATGGTTACAACACAAGTAAAAATGCGAATCTCAGTCCATAATGAAGCTTCTGAGCCGGAAACTTCATTATGGACGGTAGCCTCTGAAGGGCGACCTGACCGGGGTCATCATTAAGTGTCTTGTGCCTACGCTTGAACTCCTTGACCCACCATGTTATATGAGAGCTGACTGTGTCATGCTCCAACCAGTGTTGATGAATTTCTCTTACTGTGGAACTTTCATTTGTTAGGAATTATATGACACTCCGATCCTTAAGTTGGCCAAAATCTCTCTCTCTCTCTCTCTCTCTCTCTCTCTCTCTCTCTCTCTCTCTCTCTCTCTCTTTCAACAAACAATTGTATCACGCAAGTCAATAATCTGAAACAAATGCCCAAACATTCAAGTTTTATGCCCCCAAAATGAACCTACTTGATTTACCACTAAATTGATCATCTGTTTGGCCTCCTCTCTTACCTAGTAGTTTACAAGATGCCAGTCCATACTCCGGCCAGGGTTCAAACCAGAACCATTTGTGTGACTATTGTTCTCACTGAGCTATAGTCATTATTATTATTATCATTATTATTACTATTATTACTGCCATAATCATTACTAAAAACATTTAAAGATGTAGCTTATAATAAAGGCAGGTAGAAATATAATTTGGCCAAGACAGAGGACAGGATGTGGGCGGCTGTCATGTGGCTGGATTAGGTTAATACCCTCCTCCCCCGCCAAGACACACAGTAAGCTGCCCTCCTACACAACACTCACCTTTAGTTGTTCCACTCTGCATTGTTCCCATCCTCTCTGTCCCTCTACCGCTGGATATCTTGACAGGTAAATGGATAGAGAGAAACAGGTAAATGGATAGATGGAAAGTGATATACCATCCAGCCTCTGTGTCGTGGTCCATCACGTGTAAGAAACATCATGTTAAATCCTCTCATATATGACTTACCTAATGTCTGGTCGCCACCTCTCTCCCATTGGCTCCCTGGTGGGTGTTGAGAACTCTAAGGCAGAGGTGTGTGTGTGTGTGTGTGTGTGTGTGTGTGTGTGTTTAAGTGTTTATATAAAACATGACTGAACATTATGTTTATGCGTATATACAGTATACGTTTTTCCTAGGTCACGATAACATATCACACACACACACACCTTCAAGAATCTAATCTCTAGTAAGGTCACGGAGGCGGTTCTGTAACACAACTAATCCTATCAGTGGTTTCTGAGCTGTACTTATCTCTCCAAGAGGGGATTGTTATACACCTGGCAGGGGCAGCTATCTGGGGTCGCAGTTGTCGTACCGTGTATGAAGAGGAAAGAGGGTAAAATATTGATGGTATTGGCGCAGTCCTGGGGCCTGGGTACCGTGCCCATACCTGCCTAGTTTGATGACGATCGCTCCAATTGTCTGAGAGGTGACTATTATGTAGATAATTCATGAAATATAAAGTATAAAGTATAAATTACTTACGGAAGAAGAGTCCACAAAATGTTACCCACCTGTAGGGTCACCTGTAACACCTGTAAAGCTACTCGTAACACCTGTCGGACCACCCGTCACACCTTTTGGGCCATCCGTCACCCTTAGGGCCACCCGTTACACTTGTAGGCCACCCGTCACACACCTGCAGTTACCTATCACGTCACATGCCTGCGTCCCCCGCACGTAACGTGACACACCGGTAGGGCACCGCTTGTAATATACACATCCGCGGGGACGCTAGTAACAACTGTAGTGTCACACGTAACATAAGAACATAAGAAAATAAGGAGTCTGCAATAGGCCGGTTGGTCTGTGCATGGCAGCTCCTGTCGAGAGTTACTACTACTCTCTATCATCCATGAATCTATCCAGCCTCCCTTTGAAACTTTCCAGCGTTCCCGCACTTACTACAAAGTTGCTAAGCTTGTTCCACTCGTCCACCACCCTATTTGTAAACCAGTTCCTTCCTATCTCCCTCCTAAACCTAAACTTATCCAACTTGAATCCGTTGTTCCGAGTCCTATCCTGCTCGGATATTATAAGAACTTTATCTATATCACCTTTATTGATTCCTTTCACCCACTTGAATACTTCTATCATATCTCCCCGCACTCTTCGTCTTTCTAGGGAATGCAAGTTTAGTTTCTTTAACCTATCCTGATATGGAAGGTTTCTAAGTCCCGGAATCATTTTCGTCATTCTTCGCTGCACCGACTCTAGTGAATTGATATCCATTCTATAATAAGGGCACCAGAACTGAACTGCATAATCGAGGTGCGGCCTGACTAGCGCAAGATATAGTTGGCCAAGACCTCTGCACTCTTATTACTTACACTTTGTGATATAAAACCCAATACTCTGGTTTGCCTTATTTCGAACATTAACGCAGTCCATTTACAAAGTACCGGTCTCTTTTCACAAGTCGACTTCTAGGTTGATGTTGTTAAGGCTGTAACATTGACAGTATTTGTTCTTCCAATATTAAGTACGCTGCACTTGCTGGTGTTGAATTTCATTTGCCATTTTTCAGACCAACCCCTGCAGTTTATTTAGACCCTCCTGTAATGCATTTGCATCCTGCCCTGAATTAATCTGCCGCCCTATTTTGGTGTCATCCGCAACTTGCTTATGTCACTGCTGATCCCAGTATCTAGATCGTTTATGTAGATAGAACAAGAGGGCCTAGTACTGAACCCTGGGGAACCCCACTGTTTACACGACCCCACTCAGATTTAACACCATCTAAACTGACCCTCTGCGTTCTATCGGTGAACCATGATTTTATCCAATTTAAAACTTTCCCTCGATACCGAGCCTTAATTTTTCTCAAGCCTCTGATGCGGTACTCTGTCAAATGTATACACAACACACTGAATGGTCACACACCACACATGTACACACACTGTGGGCCACACACCACACATAACACACCTGCAGGGCCACACACCACACGTAACACATTGCAGGGCCACTACCACACGTAACACACTGTGGGGCCACACACCACACGTAACACATCCTGCAGGGACACACACCACACATAACACACTGCAGGGCCACACACCACATGCTAACACACACTGCAGGGCCACACACACCACACGTAACACACTGCAGGCCGCACACCACATGCCCCACACACTGTGGGGCCACACACCACACGTAACACACACTGTAGGGCCACACACCACACGTAACACATCCTGCAGGGCCACACACCACACGTAACAGATTGCAGGGCCATACACCACACGTAACACACTGTAGGGCCACACACCACACGTAACACATCCTGCAGGGCCACACACACATGCTTGCCTGTGGGCCACACACACATGTTTCCTGCAGGCCACACACCACACCACACGTAACACACACTGCAGGGCCATACACCACACGTAACACACTGTAGGGCCACACACCACACGTAATGCACACTGTAGGCCCACTCGTCACACCTATAGTGCCACTCGTCACACCTATAGTGCCACTCGTCACACCTCTAGTACCACACGTCACACAAACTACAGGGCC